ACACAAGACGTTTCTGAAACAGGGCAAATGCTCACCTTTACCTGATTCTTTATATTGCTTAGAAATAATGTGTAAACAAATTGCCTGTCTGATCTCTTAGCTTTACCTATTTAATCAACAGGTCTGTACAAATGACTGATTTAAACTGAAATTACCTGCAAATCTGCATGCCCCAAAACTGGCTTTATGTTCACGTACCCTTCATTATAAAAGGGTGTGTTTACCTATATTTTAAGGATCAAGTGTACTTTAGTTAATTCTGTTTCAGTTGTGTCATCCTAGAGCAGCCTCATTATTAGTGATGGCACCATTTGATAAGTTTCCTTTCATCCCAATCATAGACTTCATAGACTCATAGAAAATGAGGGTTGGAAGGGACCTCAGGAGGCCATCTAGTCAAACTCCCTGCTCAAAGCAGGACCATCCCCAACTATGTCATCCCAGCCAAGCCTTTGTCTTGTTGGGTCTGAGAAACCTCCAAGGATACAGATTCCACACCTCTCTGGGCAACCTATTCCAGTGCTTTACTACTCTCCTAGCGAGAAAGTTTTTCCTAATATCTAACCTAAACCTCCCTTGCTGCAACTTGAGACTATTGCTCCTTGTTCTGTCATCTGCCACCACTGAGAAGAATCTAGTTCCATCCTCTTTGGAACCTCCCTTCGGGTAGTTGAAGGCTGCTACTAAATCCCCTCTCAGTCTTCTCTTCTCCAAACTAAATAAGCCCAGTTCCCTCGGCCTCTCCTCATACGTCATGTCCCCAGCCCCCTAACCATTTTCATTGCCCTTCGCTGGACTCCCGTCAACTTGTCCACATTGTTTCTGTAGTGGGGGGCCCAACATTGGACACAGTGCTCCAGATGTGGCCTCACCAGTGAAGAATAGAGGAGAAGAATTGCTTCCCATGATCAGCTGGCAATGCTCCTTCTAATGTAGCTCAGTATGCTGTTAGCCCTCTTCGCAACAAGAGCACATTCTTGGCTCATATTCAGTTTGTTGCTCACTGCAACCCCTGGTCCATTTCTGCAGAGCTGCTGTTTAGCTATTCACTCTCCAGCCTGTACTGGCTGTGCATGGGACTGTTCCATCCTAAGTGCAGGACTTTGCACTTCTCCTTATTGAACATCATGAGATTTTGTTTGGTCCAGTCCTCCAATTTGTCTAGGTGTCTCTGAATCCTAGCCCTACTCTCCAGCATATCTATTACTCCCCCCAGCTTGGTGCCATCTGAAAATTTGCTGAGGGTGCACTCAGTCTCATCTTTCAGGTCACTGATGAAGACACTGAACAAAACTGGCCCCAGGACTGACCCCTGGGACAATCCACTTGATACCGGCTGCCAACTAGACATACAGCCATTGATTATTACCCTGTAGGTCTGATGATCCAGTTAGTTTTCTATCCACCTTACAGTCATTCATCCAACCCGTACTTCCTTAGCAGACCTAGGTCTGCCTTGTTATATCAAGGCACTGTGTACACAAAACAGGCCGTGTTAAACTTCAAGTTATATATTTTTTCTACAACATTTGATGTTCATTTTTTCTGGATTTTGAAATCCAGTCAATGGACCCACTAAAGGGCTTATATTCCCAAGTGCAAAATTGTGATCCTTCAAACATCTGTTCAACTTCCACCTGATGCTGTAGGTGCTTGTAATGTGTTCAGCATTCAAGTTTGTCAGGTGCTGAAAGTTGTTTCTGGGCAGAAGCATCTTAGCCTTGACAGCATTGAGCAGTTTGATACCTATTTAATTCTTGAATGTGTCTATCCATAACCTAGTACTTCTTTGTATAATGGACTTAGTATTCTGAATACGCCTAGCAGCTCAGACTCTGCATGGAACACAGGGTTGGAGATAGATTTTAATGTTCTCACTCAGAATGTGAGAGACGTGGTTTCAATTTTTTCATCTCCCTAAAAGGTTCCCTAAACCCGTATCTCCCACCTCCCATGAGAGTGTACTGCTTACTATAAGTAATACAGTATGGGCAGGTGGGGGCACTCAGTCTGTGCTATTGATACTGTTCCACTCTATAAGGAATCTCTACAGTCATTAGGATGGTATATATGGGGTGGGCACAAGAAAAAGCACAAATAGGACTATCTAAATTTAGTGGTTTGAGTATCTCCCTGGGAGAGGCAAATACCAGGTCCAGTCCCTGTTCAAACAAAAACAGTAATCGGATAAAGTATTTAGCTATTTACTTGAGTAGGTACTGGAACCCTGGTCTCCTTTTGGAAGAGTGTCCTAACTACAAGTCTAAACAAAATAATCATACTCACTTTTTCTGACCCAATGGCTGTTTATGGAAAATGAAATTGCATCATTGAGGGACCACCTATAGTGCTGGTGGTCCTGGCATTCTCCTAGGAGGTCAGTGATATGAATTTGAGTCCCCTTAGCCAGAGGGAAAATTTAACCTGGGTCTTTGTGACAGGCTCCTGCCTGGTGCTACTGCCGCAGCATCATGGGTATGTCCTGTGGCTAGCTACATCACACCTCACCCACTCAGCTGTCACAACTGGACATTCAGATGATGATGCTGTACTCACCTGGAGATGCTCCAGTAGTTTCTTGTGGGATGGATGTGACTGCAATAGCATGTCTTTTGTGGGGCTCCTCCTCCTCTACACCCTATCCCTTTCCACTAAGGTGATGTTTGCTGTTGTTGGGACGTCAGAGGTGGTCACCACATGACACATCCCACAGTGTTAGGCTGAGGCTGCTGTCCTTTAGGGGTCCTCTTCCCTCGCTTGTGCTAATGTAGGGCTCAGAAATAATGTTAACTGAACTGACCAGACAAACTCAAAACGGCTTGGTCTGGAAAAACAGGCAGTGCGCTGGAGCCTCACTGTCCCTAGCTGCTTCCTCTTTCTTGAGGTAGCAAGCTACTGGACCCTATGTCCCCTCACTCCTCTCATCAGGCCTCTTTGGCTTCCAGGAAGGTGCCCTCTCTAGGTGGACCTTCCTAGTGTGGGCACCGAGCCAGGCTTCGCCTCAGGATGACTGTCTTCATGCCCTCATGAGGCCTGTGCTCCCTCCTAGCCGCCTGCAGGCAAATACCTCATCTGCATGTTTATCTGGTGGACCCATGTGGTGTGGGCATGGCTTTGGGAAGCCTTTCCCTGGTTACCCTCTGTGGGTGGTCCCCGGGAACCTGCAGCCAGAATGGCTGAGCTAAGGTCCTCATGTGGGTGTTCTCAGATGAGGGTTCAGTCCTTGCTGTGCTGCCACTTGGATCTGGCTCAGTGGTTCCTGCTGCAGGGTTTGCCTATGGCATCTCCCCATCACATCTGGTGGGCACTGGGATCCCAGCTTCCCTTCTTGCCTGCCCTGGGCAGATGCAGCTGGCTCCTTAACTGCCGCTTGGGGTGCAGCCAGCTAGCTATCCCCTGTGGGACACCTGGTCTGCACCTCCTCTGGGCTTCTCTGGGGGTGAGAACAGCTGGGGCTGTCTCTAGTCCCTCTGCTGCTGTTCCCCTGCCCCCATCTGCTGTGCACCTTTGTCTCATTGCTTAGGGACTCCAGGCCAATCAGAAGTGCACTTCCAGCCGATGCAGTGCTGCCATGGCCACATGGGCTCCATGCATCTGTGCTGCGGGCAGGTAAGATGGGTGGGGAGCTGTTACAGTCTCCCAGATCCAGGGTAAGTACCTTAACTACTGTGGCACCACCCCTTTTTTCTTTTCTTTTGCCATTTTTTAAAAGAATGGAGTTGACCTTCTCATGGAGCCTTGCAGGGGGGTGGGTAGGATTTAAGATAAACCTCGGACCTCACAGTCCCTTTTAGTTGAGGTGGCTATCTGCTTAGCATGCAGGCTGTTTTATATCCCATTCTGAGACACCTAATTCTTCCCCTAGAGAACTAAGGTGTTTAATGCAAGGCTGTGGATATCACCATGGCCTCATCTCCACATTACACTTAAGGCATGATTAACCAGTTAATCATGCCTTAAATTGTGAGCCAGCTACACATTCAATCAATTAACGACATCATAAAACAAGGAAGGAAGAAGCCACAAAGCTATTCCACAAAAAATATGTATTAACTTTGTGGCTTGTTTTTATCCTGCCATTAATTGAACATGTGGCCAGGTGCTCCCCTGTAGCTGGAAGACCCATCAGCTGACAGGGCTCCCAGCCACCGGGGTGCACAACTTGCTGCAAGCCCCACAGTTGACAAGGCTTGCAGTGGGGTCAGTCTTCCATGTGCTGCCCTGGCTGTGAACCCCATCAGCTCACAAGGCTCACAGTGGATCCCACAATCATGACTCCTGCCATGCACATGTGGCATGGCAGGAGGTGTGACTGCGCAGATTCTGCATCAGATCTTACCACATCTTTACCTGAACATCTAGAGGGGCCCTATAGGAACAGGCACTTAGAATAGGTGTTGCAATCCTCAGCCGTTCAGCATGTAAAACCACTTGTGAATCTAGTCCTTTGTCTTCAGTGTGTTAATAAATTATGGCCCTTGTGTGAAAGAGGCATTGTGCTTACACAAAGCACAATGACCCTAGTCCATCCTAGGGACATACCTAATGGTACTTGCTGCATCTTTCAAAAGGGGCCTTTCTACTACATTTCCCAAACACTACTGGTATTATCCGTTCTGCTTGACTCAGGATCAGACTCAACACAGACCTCCTGCTTTATCAGTACTAGCAGTCCCTCATGCAGCTAAAATTTTTTGCTGCTTTCTGGGGCAGAAAGGAAAAATGCATCTATACTGCATCTTCAGAAGTATAATTAGCTTGCAAGAGATGTGTTAGAGTAGTGTACTAGTTTGTACTATTATTTTATTAATATTCTTGAAATTCTTTGAAATAAGTGTGAAACTGTAGAAAAAAAATTTCTGAACAACATTTTAGTAATTTGAATTTTGATTTAAGCATCTATTTTTTTGCATCATAACTACTGGCTACAAATTTACTTCCCCTTCATAACATTCCTAAGTTTAATTCTGCATAAATAAAGCAGAAAAGTAAAGTGTTTAACAAAAAAAGTTTATTACCAAAATACAATATTAAAGTCAATACATGACAAACTCCTGTAAAGCAAAATAAATTATTCTAAAATTGTACAGTATTTCAGAAGGTAGTTAAAGTAGTACTACAGACTTTGCTTCATAGTTCCAAACAGATAATCTGTTCTATCAGGAACACAATCCTAGAGAGCTTAAGGCATGCAGCTTAATGTGCTGGATAATTTTATAAAATGCAAGTCTTCCTATTTTAATAAGATACAGTGTCAGAATTAACTGCAGTTTTTACATGTCAGTTTTCTAAAAGTTTTTATACTTTGGCTATAAAAGCAGTGCCATAGTGTTATAATACCTTTTCTTAAAAAAATACATGTATCCCGTCCATGAATAACACAAATGTAAATTTCTATTAAATATATCTTATTCAATATTACTTTGAGCACCCACTGTATAATTTATTTTAATGATTAAATAAGTGCTTCTGAAAAAGGAGAATACAATAACTCCATCTGAATTCCACTCTTCTTCTGAGCCAGGTTAAAGCGGAAACATTATATATCCCCAGCTATTTCACCATTACTGACATATATGAAGAAAAGTTTTCTTTCTAGTAGAATTGTAGGCATCTAGAACCATAGCTGAAAGTTATAGTCCATATCATTGAATAAAACCTGCTTAGAGCAGAGCTGAATGAAAATCAAGCATGTAGCACTGCAGATTTGAATGTCTGCTGGAGTCTTGTGACAGCAGATCCTAAAATATTTTTAAATCCTAAAAGAATGGGGAGACTGAAATGCCATAACCATAAAAAGTGCTTTAACTTTTCCCCCTTCCCTGACAAACTATAAAACATGCAACCAAACAAACCACACAATTCCCAAAGAAGATATCTTGATTAAAAATCTGGCTTTCAGGAACTGATCCTAAAATCACTTCACATACAGAACTTCCATTAAAGTCAATGGGAATTTTGAATGTGACTTGACAGCAGCATAGGGCAATGAATAAGAAATTTCTCCCTATGAAGATTGTTTATTTTCTGTAGACTAGAAATAATTATTTCTTGGCATCTGTAGTATTTCCCTTTGTCAGTTTTTAGGTGGCTCCACATTCTACTGCTATAGAACATAAGGTTAACTAAAGGTACTGATAACAAAGTGTTGAAGAACGTGCTGAAAATAGATGTACCATGGGCAGTAGTCCCGTTAACAATGATGGGTTTGATGCATTGTATTTTAACATGGTGTGCACACACATACACAGAAAATACTAATTTAGATTAAAAAAAAAGTTTACTGGCTTTGTTATTCTGGGCTCACTGCCATCTTTCAGTTGATGTCTCAAAAGTTCTTCACTTATTTCCATTACTGTAACAACTTAAAATACATGATCCCTTACAGAAAAATTAATTTGACTGTAGCTTCCATGAGTCTAAAATGGTAATTTAAAATTCGTATTACTATGGATTCTTTGGTAGTTTTAAATTTACCAGCTTTTCAAATGACTAATAAACTGGATCCCTAAAAGGAGCTTAGATGTTGAACACACAAAACCAGAAATTACGAGGCTTAAGTATACTCAAATATTGCACAACCCTAGTGGCTTAGGGTAATGCCAGTACCCAAATTAAATGTTTTCTACCTCGGATTGAAATTGTTCATTATAATAATAAATCACGTCTTTAAAATGTCAAAATTAGACTTGTATGAATATCAACATATCCTTTTGATTGAAAAATGTAAAGAATATAAATTGTTTTACATTTTTATTTTAAAAGATACAAATATATTGTGTTTAGTTGTTGGATAGATCAAACCTACAATGTAATGGGCTTTATGACATTACAACTTTACCAGTTTTTAAAGAAACTTTTGTTCTTTTGTAATCTAATATATAACCAAATTCTAGGGATATTTAAAAAAGATAGACAAAGTTCAAGAAACTTAAACCCATTTTTAAAGATCACCAGTATACTTGAAACCTTATTTTTGAAGTATTATTTTATCCTGCCTTTTCACCAAGGCTGCTCCTTAAAAGTATTAAGAAAATATTAAAAAACCCTACTAATATTTTTGTTTGACCAACTTCACAGTCCATAATGGAAGTTAGAAAAATAGCACCACAAAGGCTATATACTGCATGTGCAACACTTTTTTTCAGAAATGATGTAGAAATAGGTAATAAATATAAAAAGAAACTATTTTCTGATTAACTTTTTAAAAAATAATGTATAAACCTTTTTTAAACAATGAGCAATTAAAACATGGGTAACTGCATTCACATTGAAGAAATGGGATGTGCTTCAATGCAAATGCTGTTTTGAAGCTACCCTTAAAATGAGAATGCAGTGTTCCAAACCAAACTATTTCAAGAGCTTGCTAAAAGGTTTTTAAGAATACGTTGCAATTCCTTTTGGGAATAGATCTATATTTAAAACCATTTTAGTGGCCAGCTTCATAAATAATCTTGACGGAGCTGCCAAGCAATTTTCCTACATCCTGTAGCTCCAAATTGAAAGACAAACTGATGCAGGTTACTGACACTACATGAAAAGATGACAATTATAATTTTAGAAGTAAAAGGGTTTTTAAAAAGAGAGGGATTTCTAAGGATTTAAAAAAATATAGTAAACAGCTTCCCTTTGTAAATCCATATCACGTGCATCAGTAAAATTTAAGAACCACCATATTTTTATTTTAGTATAGTGGGAGAAGCAATTTCCCCAAATTAGATCAATTCTACTTAAAGATATTTTCCATATAATTTTTGTATTTAATACATTTTGAAAAGATTACCTCAACTCTGAGTGAATTATTTCTACAAGCAAAATCGTAAGGCCAGATTTTTACTGTTACGTAGGGACCTAAAGATAGCTCCTAATGGTATTTTAAAAAGCATGTAGGCACTTTGGACAGTCCTACTATACGCTTGCACACATCTTTAGGTATCTATACAACTTTAAAAATGTGGCTGTTTATCAGTTCCATTTTCACTGATTACCTGTTCCCATCCAAAGAAGGTGGTTGTGCTCATTACAGGCTGAAAACGAACTACTAGTTAAGCAGCAACTTACATATCATGATCTACTTACTTTTAGAAGTCTTACTGAATATTTAAAGAAAGCTATTAAAGAACAATGGATCATGTTTACATATTATCTCAATGCATCTAACAAAAGACATTAGATACTGAATTATGAACTGGACCATCAAATAAGTAGCAAAGATGCCTACTGCTTTCAGGCTGCTCTGTTTCTGCTACTTTGAATCAGCACCTTTATTAGTCACAGAGAGTGAAATAAACATCCAGCAGTGTTTATTTAAAAAAAAGAGAGTTGAGTTGGGGAGAGTAGTCGTAAAAAAAACTGATCAAGAGAAACTTCCCCTATACACTTATTTACCTGTCAGAGTTGAGCAAGAAACTTCAGGAGAACACTACTATATAAAACTCTATCTGGCCTACTGTCAACTACAGGAAAGAAAGAAAAACTCTGCCTGAAAGAAGTTTGACACCTTGTTAATGCTTGCAGAGCAAAAAAGCCTTTTGAATTGAGCCAATACCTTGTTTAGCTCCTAGTTTGATGCACAATGGACTAGCACCAGGCATTGAGAAATCCACACTCTTGGCACCACAGGGAAGAAGTGATTAAGTGGATCATTTCCATGGTTTCCTTAAAATAGGGTATTTAATCTTTTTAGTTAAATCATGAGTTCCCAGATAAACTATGTTCTCTTACTGTATCAACCATTCAACTTGAGAAATCAGTAAATTTTACTTCTCTTTAGCAATTATCGCAGGCAATGTTAACAAAGATAGGGCAAAAAACACTTTAGAAAGTCCTTCTCTTTTCTAGGTGAGAGCTTCATCTAGTTTGTGATCCGAGTTGTGTTGTGGTCTTTATTTAAAATTATGTTTATTATTTCACCTTCATGTTCTTTCATATGATCCAACAGATTTTCTTTGTTGGTAGATTCAAACCCACAAATACAACAGCAGAAGAGTAGAACACAGTATTCTGTACCAAGATGGGACACACTGGAGTTCTTTTCTAAGTTGCATGAGGTATTCATTGTTGGGTTGGGTTTTTGATTTTCATCAGAACCTGCAATTTCATTAGTAGTCTGGTGAATGGTCTCTGAAAATGCCATCAGGTTGTCTGAACTCCCCAGAATAGGTACTGCATTTTCCTCAGTGCCTTCCAATAAAGGTTTTCCTGATAGTTGCCCTTGAAATCTAAAACAAGAAAAACACAACAATTAAATATTTTTCCTTTTAGTTTCCAGACTGGAATTTATTTGGGGTCAATGATGGAAGCTACGAACATTCTAGATTGAATACTGTAGTTTGTATGGAGCTATATTACCTGCCACTTTGTGAAATGGCATCATTAATAGCTTTGTTCACTTGTTCATAATTGTAATTTTGGTCACTCGCATGTTTCCACATATGGGACTTCAGGGAAGGAGGATGACTACACACATATCCACAAAGAGAACACCTGAAAAAAATAAGGTAAAAAAGAAGGCATTTAGAAGTGAAATCCAACAATTTAAATATTTTATGTGAATTTCTAAGATAATCCAAAACAAAATAATGCATCTGTGCAATAATTCCTTTGCTCCCTCAAAACCGATATCAGAAAAATTCCTTTCTGTTTCATTTGGGGGAAAATAACAACACAATAATTTCAGGCCATTATAATGCACAATAATTTGCATTTTTATAACTTGGCCATATAATGTTGCTGAAGAATGAAACTGTGCATGGAACATCATCGCCTCTGAGGAACTTTTAAACAAAACTACATTAATAACAGCTAAAAAAAAAAAGCCCATAATCAGTTTGGCTACTTTGAAAAAGTTATTTAAAGACATAAAATGCATTCTCAGATCACTGTAGGAACATACTTCTCCTTCAGTATGTAGGAACATACTGTTCAACTTCTATTTTATATGCAAAATACACTGCAAGACGTGTTATGAAATACTTGTTCATCAGTTCTGGGATATTTTTAGGAAATCACAAAACAAACAGTTTGAAAGAACAAGTTTTGCAAGTTTGCTACTTTGCATGTACAATAATTTATTTCCCTGTGAAGTTTAATTTGTGTTCCTAATAGTTAACTGATTACAGACCATACTATATGCATCCATAGTTACATCTTACAAGAAAAAGAAAGTGAAGTAAAAGAAAAATGTTGGCAAGTTAAGGAAGAACAGAATTTTTAAGAAAAGGCAACTTGTTGGTATTTCTTTCACTCAACTTCCTTACTGATCAACCCTTCCTCTGCAAACTAGTTACAAGTTCAGAAGTTCCTGCTATAAAAACCAATTGGATTGTTCAAAACATCTTGAAAAAATATCTCATTTCATCAAACTTAATACCTTTTTTGAAAAATGTACATAGAAACCAATATATTTCTATAAAACATATTGGCTTAATCCCAATGAAACATTCTTGGACTTTTTTTATATAAGTTTTGTAGTTAAAATAGTTTTAAGGATGTAAATTTATCAACTGTTGCCTCTGCAAGAGATAAAAGATTGTGGCACATATTGCTGGGGAGTTGTGAGGCATGGGGGTTATAGGGTAGGTCAAGCCTTGAGTTATCCGGCAGCATGCTGAATTGAATTGTTATCATAATAATGGGTAAGTTTACATTCTGTCAGAATTCCCACACCGAGCAATCACAGTTTTGGTTCTGCTACCATCTACTTCAGGTTATACCCGTCATCATTCAACAAGAGCCATACTTTCCTGTCCAAATAGTGTAATGTCTTGCCATGTAACATTATGATGGATTTGTTAAAAGAGCTGCCACAAGGCTTAAAGAGTTGTAGTTTTCAGAACAAAAACTATTTGCTAGGAATACGATAGATGAAAACACAACAGAAGTCCTATATGATGCTGATACTGCACACTGCTAATTCAGCAAGTTTTGTCACTGACTTTAGGTCCAAATGGAGAATCATGATCTTGCACTTAAATGAGTAAAGAAAACTTTATATTCTCTTCCACTGTACACAACAGATTTTGCAATGCTTTAAGAAGAGATGCTTTATACTCTACACATGCAGGTGTAATAAGGTAATCCTGTTAGCCTGGAGACTCTTTTTAGTTCAAGGTCTCCGGTAACCATCATCAAGTATTCTATTCTACTTGTCCTATTTTTAATTGAAAATCTTTTTTTTTTTTTAAAAAGTGTACTCTCTCAAATTAGAACCAATGGAAGTCTCAGTCTGATTGAAAACTTTACTAACCTAATGAGACCGCTACATTATCATCAAGCCAATTTAATAAATGCTAACCCAAAGCACAGCTTTAAAATCCCAAATGGCCTCTTAATCAGGAAAACAAAGGTAAAAAAAAGAATGTGCAAAGTGAAATGTTGAGTCAGGAGATACCAAAAGGAAAAGGTTGCCTAAACCACTGTAATTCTACCCTCACATGCACATGTATTACTATACTCTTAATTAAATGATTGCCTATTTCTTTTCTGAAATACCTCCTCACCTTATTTAGTGAGCAGATGGAAAGCTAGCAAGTATATGAAATAATTTGATGTTTACTGTGTCCTCGTTAAAAGGACCTCTGATTTATTTACTGAGCACTCCAATTTTACTTGTGAGTTATATAACACCATAAGCTTTAAATACCACTAGCTGCTTTCAACTGTCTATCCATTTCCAATCAAAGCAGAGGGAGCCATAGATTGCTCATCATCCAGGATACAATGTACAATGATTCCAGGGAAAACATGGGAATAGAAAATCAAGGGAAAGCAGTTTGCTGATATTACAGTTCAGAATGTACTTTTACAATGTACTTTCATTAAACCTGTAAGTTAAAAGACAATGAAGGTAGGAGAATAACACTTAACATTTATTTTTGCAGTTTGAATTCAGCTTGCTGTTATATGTAAGACAGCCAACAGAAGTGGTATCCTGTTTTCATTATGTTTAGTACCTGGATTGCAGATCCTGAAATTATCATACAGAATTCAGGTTAATTTGCCCTACAGGCTAAACTGTGTGGAATTATTAAACTTCACTGTTCTAGATGTTTTAAACTGACCTTCTGAAGAAACAATTGTCTTGCAGACTTTAACAGAGTAGTTCCTCTGGGACACAGAGGCCAAGGTGCAGAAGTCTGCAGTAATGTAGGTGACACTGCAGAACACTTTGCTGTGGTGTGTATAAAGTGACTGTGTAGGGCATCTGATATTCTATTATTGATACAATTGATACCTAGTGCTGCTGAAAGTACGCTGGGAAGGGATGCAGTGGGAGAGGTTTGTTTCTAAGCTGGATGGGAAGAAAGGAAAATTCTATGTTTTATCTGTATTATTCCAGTTGCTTGCTGAACTATGTTGCAGAAGGAGTTCAGTTTTTGTTCTTGCTTCCTCTTTTAAGTTTTTATTTTTGTTGAAATCTAGCACTAGACTTAGACAGTTAAATTAACATATTAAATGTTTTATAGTAAAGTTTTAAGCGTGTAGCAGATATGAACAGATTAGCATTAGAATTTATTTATCAAACATCCAAAACATGAACCACTGTTCAGGTTCTCAAAGTGGGACAGCAAGGATACAAAGTTGGCATTACTGACTTTTGTATTTCATACAAACATTAATCAACTGGGAACAGAGAACAAATCTGAGGAAAAAAATATGACTACCCAACCTATTTTTGACTTAAGCTTCAGAGGAAGCAATGATATCAGATCCTCCTTTATTTCAGAAGGTAACAAACCCTTTTTAAGTTTTAACTTCCACATACTTATACTGTTCCATTAACTGCACTGCCTGATGCTCGTGAGGGTGGCGCCTCATGTGACACTTCAAACTATTCATATTTGTTGTGGCGAAGTCACATACTCGACATCTGAAGAAACAACAAAAAACAAATGAACCCAACAACCTGATATTAAATTATCACAAATAAAAGTCTAAGATACAGCCAAAGAGGTGTTTTTGAAAGCCTATGATTAAAGCAAATAACATATTTATAAACTTCTGTATTAATTTCCCTTTTAAGAAACTACATGGATTTTCAAAATCATAAAAAGCGTAAAAGTAACATTTTCTAGGTTCAAATGTGGTCCTTATTTTCATCCTGTGAAATTTCACTTAAGTCAAAATTTCACTGTAAAAGGGGAATGCATACCCTAGTGATGGCCATGGTATGTAAATGCCTGGCTAAGCAAGACAAAGGTAAAATATGGCCATAAAAGTTTATACTTCATTATGTAAACTGAACCCCCCGTCCATTTCCAGATTCACTGGGGTACATGCTGGGGGGCCCCCGCACTCCGCTGGCTCAGTGATCAGCCATGGGGGGGACCCCAGGTGCCCCACCAGACCCAGGAGGCACCAGTCACCAAGCTGAGGTGGTGTAGGGGGGCTCCTCCGCATGCTCCCTGGTGGACCCAGAAGTGGACCAGAAGTGTTTCAGGTCTACTTCCAGGTCTGCTGCCGAGCATGTTGGGGAGCCCCCTGTGCTCCTGTGGGATGCTCTACCTGCCCCACCATCACAGCATTCACCAGCCACTTGGTACCTTGAAGTATGTAGAAAAAACATTTAAAGCTCTGTCTACATCCGAATGGCCAAATTTTTCCAAATCTCTCTGAATTGATTTGGAGTGTTCTGATTCAATTCGGAGAGATTAAAGCAGGGGTGGGCAAAATAAGGCCTGCAGGCTGGAGGCCATTCTATCCAGCCCGTGGGGCCCCTAAAAAAATGTAGAAAATCAATATTTCTCTGCCCTTGGTTCCTGTCAAAAATGACAGGAACCAAGGGCAGTAGGACCCAGGGGAAGCCCGGCAGGCTCCAAAAACAGCAGGGCCCACCTGGCCCTGCCCCCCAGCTGGAAGCCCCAGCAGGGGTTTCTGGGCTGGGAGCACGTGGCTGCCCCGGCACGGAAAGCTCAGGTAAGTGTGTGGGGGGGGAGACCTGGGCAAGGAAGGAGTGCAGGGCAGGGCAGAGAAGCGACCCCTCCCCAGCCACACCCTGCGCTACAGCTGCTTGCAACCCACGTGGGGCTGCAAGTGCCTGCAGCATGGGGCACCGGGCATGGGGTGGAGGAGGGGCCACTTCTGCCCCGTGCTCAACTTTTCCCTGGGCTCCTTCCCTGTGTGGAGAAAAGCGGCCCCTCGCCTGCCCCATGCCTGGCGCCCTGCACTGCAGGCACTCACAGCCCACGTGAGGCTGTCCGGAGCAGGCACAGGCAGCCCCAGGCAGGCTGCAAGTGGATGCAGTGTGGGGCGCTGGGCATGGGGCGGGGAGGGGCTGCTTTCTTCCCCCCTGCTCAGCACCAGCTTGTAACCCACTGGCAGTGGGGCGAGTTACAACTAGTGCTGAGCGCGGGGAAAAGTGGCCCCTCGCCTGCCCCATGGCAGGAGCATGGGGTCCCAGCTGGCAGGGGCTCTATGGAGCTGGGCCAGCTCCCCCCTCCCTGCTGGTGCAACCCAGCCCGGCTCCACAGACCCCTGCCGGCCTGTGCCCTGTTCTGGGCCCCACCGATGCTGGCCCTGGGACATTGTTCTTAAGACATTGGGACGTTGGTCCCAAGATGGTGACCAGGGGGCAGGGCACCTGTCAAGGGGTGGGGCACCTGTCAAGGCGTGGGGCACCTGTCAAGGGACGGGGCTACCCATGCGGCTCTTGACAGCCTGCCAAAACTGGGTAAGCGGCCCTCTGCCCAAAATAATTGCCTGCCCCTGGATTACAGCGTCTCCTGATTCAATTTGGATTCAGAGATTCGGCTACTAAATCGGGCCAAATCTCCACTGAATCGAATCAGGGACCTAAGCTTCACACAGTCCTACTGCTTAGCTCCCCTGCTCCCAGCAGCTCCTCCTCCTCCTTCCCCATTCTGGGCAGCAGGCAGTGCAGGGAAGTCGTGGGGACATGTGCTGGCCAGCAGATGCCCAGTCAGGCAGTGGAGAACCTGCAGCCAGGTGGCTCCTGCCCCAGTGTGCAGGGCTCTAGGTCCAGCTCCTTGCTGCCTTTCATCCACTTTGCTCACAATAAGTAGTCACTTAAAGGCAGCCAAATGGGTGGAAGGCGGCTGGGAGCTGGAGCCCCACATGTGGGGGCAGAAGCCGCCCGGCTACAGCTTCCCAACTGCCTGACTTGGCATGTGATGCCTGGCATACATCCCCACAGCTTCCTTACGTTACCTGTTGCCCAGAACAGCCCAGCTGGGGCAGGAAGAGGAGGAGTAGCTGCTGGAGGCAGGGGAAGCTTAGCAGCAACCCTGCCAAGAAGCTGTGTGCACCGGCCAGGGCCAGGGCGGTGTTGTCTGGAGGGCACAGGGTGGGCGTGGGCTGATCCAGCACTGCGGGAGCAGCCGTGGAGGGATGGGGTTGGGCAGCAGACTGTACCAGCTCTTCTGCATGCATTCCCTGCTCGGCCCCCCACCCCCTCCCGGCCAGTTCCCAGGACCTAGCACATGTGCCGCCCCCCCAAATACACACCCACCCCTCACAATATACAAGAGTAACACTATTTTGAGCTATTATATAATTGCTTCTATATATACTATTCAAAAAACCTGAAGCAGGACAAAATTATTTTTCGTTATAAAATTAAGATATGATATAGCAGATGTTTGATTTTTAGCGTATGATTTTTTTACCTATAATTTGTTAAAATGATACCCTGTAAAAGATTTCATATGTGTGGCCTCAACAGCTCACCAAAACTCGGTATGTAGCCCTCCAGTCAAAATAACTGCCCACTCCTGTCCTAAATCTATGCATTCTACACAAAGCAATTTGTGGCGCTTAAATACAAATATATGACAGGCAAGGATTACAAATCTTTCTAGGCAGAGCAGATGAATTGCTTCAGTTTGGAATGCTTTAAACAACTAAAATGTTATATGGGTATATTTTTCAAGAATTCAGTTATTTCTTTCAAATAAATTGAAAAGTCAGGTATGACAGATCAAATACCAGAAATGTACAGAATGTTTATGATGGAAGGTAAAAAACCAAAACAAAAAGGCTTTATAATTAAAATACCTATTACTGATTACTTGTAATTACAGGAAACTGCAAGTCATTAATATATCACCTCCATGGAAGTTGCAAAGATATCCAAGAAAAACAGCCAGTGTGATTCCTATATATGTATAAACTACTTATCTTGGGATAGGAACTCAAACTATGATCTACCTGCATGTTTACATGATTTTTCTTTTAGTTCTTCAAATATTAATAAGCATTATGACAAGGACAAAAAGAGGCATCCTGTACAACAAAAACACAGGGAAGAGAATGAACTGCTCTTCTAAATTCTACAAGACCAAGGAACCTATTTCCTGAATTATATACAACATGTAACTTTTAAAAAATGTTGTGGTCTTTGCATCTTTCACAGCTCGAGAAGCAAATACAATTTATTTCTTGCCGCTACCCTTTAAGAGACGATGCTTCCCCAAAATATAAGAAATCTGCAACAATCTTCATTTGCTTAGTTATCTTAAATACCAAAAGAGCGAACCAGTTTGTCAGCAGTAAGACTAAAGGCACAGGATAATTAGATAGTCTGCTCAGAATAGAGGCTTTTATGGATTCTAAAATAGGACAGTTGGCAGCTTAAAACTTGGCAGGATGGAGGAAAAAAGAGTGAGGAAGGTAGTGGCTTATAGTGAATCTGTAAAGACCTTCTGAGTAAACTCTGAATGTATACAAAGTACTATTTAATTTATGCTGCCTCTAGGTAAATATGTGGGAATAATTTAGCAAACCTAAATCACTGTACATCTGGGATTGAAGTTTCTCCAGAAATATTTACATAGGTCAAAGGTGTCCTTATAAGTTTGTTCTATCTAAAGCTGATTTTCTATCACATTATAAATTTTATCACAAGGACTGTATTTTTAACCTATTCCTATTTATCCATTTTCCTTCCCCTTCCTTCCCTTTTCATTATTTACTCCTGCCGCTAGGGATGTGAAAGGGTTTAATTGATAAGCTCGGTGATATCTGTTTATCTTACCAGTTACTTGTTAGCTTGGGGTGGGCGCAGTCTGGCAGGGGAGGGGAGAAGGGAAGCTGCGTGGTGCCCCAGCAGAAATCAGAAGACAGCTAGGCAGGCAGAAGGGAGGGAGAGTGGAGGGGGATTAATACCCATACCCTAAAAGGAAAAAAACCAGCAGCCCAAGGACTCATCAATTAAGCAACTAGCTGCTCGTTCACAGGTGCTCCCTCCCAGCCTGGGGCTTCAGGTGGTCTGTGTTGTCTGGGTGGGCATGCCTCCTCCCCCTAGTCAAAGGACAGGGTGGACCAGGAGTGGCTCTCAGCAGCAGCTGTGTCTCCAAGCTGCTGTGTTATCGGTTACTCGTTTAAACAATATAATTAGAGGAGATTTAACAAATATTTAAAAAATATTTACATCCCTACCTGCCACAACCAAGTTTCTGTTCAACTTTAAAAGCAGAAATGGGTAACGTTCTGCCAGTGGGCTGCACTGGGTCTGCAATTAACTCCATTTCCCAGCAGCCCCTGCCTGTGCAGCTCCTGGCTGGTCTCCACGGAGACCCCGGGAGTGTGACAGCGCAGGGCCAGGATGGCCCTAGGCTGTAGAACCTTGCCAGCCCAGCCCGTGCTGTCATGCTCCGCACGCCCTGGGTCTCCATGGAGACTGGCCAGGAGCTGCGCAAGCAGGGCATGCGGCTGGGCAGGGAGCTGCTGCAGAGCTGGGATCTTGCGGCAGTGACAACACAGGGTGAGGCTAGGGCAATGCCATTATCTGTTGCTTGCACATCCCTGAGATGAACGCAGGTTCTGCAGGCAGGGGTGTGGAGGGAGCAGACTGCAGCTCTGCCCTGTGCTGTCATTGCCACAAGATCCTGGCCCCGGCACAGCCCCCGCCTAGCCTCATGCCCTGCAGGTGGTGCCTTGTTGGTCTCCTTGGAGACCCCAGGAGCGTGGGGGCATGACAGCATGGGCTGTGACAGCGCAGGGCCTTGCTGTCCAGCGCAAAGCCCAGGTTCTGCAGCCCCGTGCTCCTGGGGTCTCCATGGAGACCAGCCATGAGCTACATAGGCAGGGGCTGCTGGGAAATGGAGTCCAGCCACCAGCCACATCCACCATTTTGCCTACCCCTGTTCTAAAGACACATTATTGCTGTTTTGTTTGTGAGAGTTTTGTTGTTGTGCATTAGTATTTCCAGGCAAACTCCAAAGTGACATTTCAAACACAAAACAAGCAGAGAAGGAAAGCTGATGGTTCTGGATTTTATGGTTTGAACAAACCACAGCAGGTATGGTTCCTTTTGCTTTATAGGAGAACTATTAAGTTGCTAGTGTTAAGTTCTTTCTTCAATGATGCTCTTAAAAATGTACAACGTTTAGTACGTTTAGTTAAAAAGAACAATGGTTCAAGCAGCCAGAAATAGTCAACATTAAGCAAAGACACTTACCTGTATGGCTTATCAGAATTATGAATCCGTCTGTGATTTCGTACGCCAACGTAGGTTGTGCTTGTGTAATCACATACATCGCATCTGTAGAGTTTCTGGACTGAAGATTTATTTCCTGTATAGAATACATTTTGTAATTTCAGAAATACACATTCTCCTGTACTTGAAGTTCTAGGATAATAGTTTCAGCACAGAATGGGATTATGAAACCTGACATTTTGAAGTTAATGGACGAGTCTACGGAAGGCATGGTATGACAGGACAGGAGTTATAACGCACCAATCTGTATGTGAGATGTGGAATCAAGCAACTGTGAACCTTAAGTTACGGTAAAAAGGTAATGCCACAGTGCAGAAAGTATCTGGTAATCCCATTGCTCAGGGCTTTGCTGGTCACAAGTTGAGGCCAGGAAAACATTTTTTCTTCCTCATGAATGCTACTGGCTTATGGGGGTATTTTCATCTTTGAGCCACAATTAAGGCTGAGAGTTTTTGACTCATTTGCACTGATGCTCCATTTGGTACAAGAAATCCTGAGGGACACACCGATCACCATTTCTGAGGTCAGGAAATCATTTTTTCTCTGGGTCAGATTGGAACAGACTTTGGATGGGGCTTTGTTTTCCTCTGTAACATAGGATCATAGGAAAGTAGGGCTGGAAGGGACCCTACAAGGTCATCTTGCCCCCACCCGGCTCAAGACAGGAGCATCTCTGACTAAAGCATCCCAGGCAAGCATCTGTCCAACCTGCTCTTGAAATCTTTGAAGGATGGAGATCCACAACTTCTCTAGGTCACTTGTTCCAATGTTTGACCACCGTCATAGTCAGAAAGTTCCTCCTAATCTCCTACCTAAATTTCCTCTGCTGAAGCTTGAGGCTATTGCTCACACACCTATGGTGCACTATGCTGTGTCACTGATGGCCACAAAGAAAAACCCATCTCCATCCACTGTAATTGTCTTTCAGGGATTAAAATCCCGCCCCCGCACCCCATCTTTTCATCTCCACACTAAATAACTCTAGTTCTTTCAACCTTCCCTCACAAGTCTTGCCTCCCAGGCCCCTTATTATTCTTGCTCTGTGCTAGACTCTTTATAAACTGTACACATCCTTCTTGAAGTGTGCAGACCAAAACTGGATGCAGCTGAGGTCACCATTGCCAAATCTCTTCTTTTGATTTGAAAGTGACACTCCTATTAATACAACTCCATATGCTATTGGCTTGTTTTGCAATAAGAGCACTGTTTGCTCATATTTAGTTTATGGTCTAGTGCAGGGGTCAGCAACCCCCGGCATACTTGCCAGAGCATGGCACGTGAGGCCATTCTGCTTGGCACGCCACAGCTGGCCTGGGCTCTGGGCAGTTGTCGCCAGCCACAGAGCCCCGGCCGCTTTCAGCAGGCCGGAAGGG